CAGTCAGTGTTTCAGTCACTCGGTGTGCCAGTCAGACAGTCAGTCAGTGTTTCAGTCACTCGGTGTGCCAGGCCGTCAGTGTGCCAGTCAGACAGTCAGTCAGCGTGCCCTCAGGCGTCAGTGATTTTCAGACTCTTAGCCTGACAGCAGCTTTAGCCTCCAAATTAGATTCCCATCGTCTCATAAATCTCCTTGGATACGAGGAACCCCCCCGCCCCCCCATGTGCTGCCCTCCTCCTCTTCCTCCTCTCTCTTCCCTCGCTTGCCTCTCCTCCATCTGCCCCCTTATCTCGCCTCCTAAATGAGAAACTGAAAAGGCAGAAATGTGCTCGTACGTGTGCTGTGTGGCTAAGCAGTTCATCAGCGGCACCGCCGCGCGCGCGCGCCCTCACGCTCACACGCACACGCGCACTCACGCGCCTCACTAGAACCAGAAATGACACGACAGAAAACAGGGCTGGCCATCTGTGTGAGCTGAGACCATTCCCCTCTCTGCTGACAACGCAGGGACACACACACAGGGACAAGCACGCTTACACACACACACAGGGACAGGCACGCTTACACACACACACAGGGACAGGCACGCTTGCACACACACACAGGGAAACACACACACACAAGGACAGGCACGCTTGCACACACACACAAGGACAGGCACGCTTACACACACACACAGGGACAGGCACGCTTACACACACACACAGGGACAGGCACGCTTGCACACACACACAGGGAAACACACACACACAAGGACAGGCACGCTTGCACACACACACAGGGAAACACACACACACAAGGACAGGCACGCTTGCACACACACAGGGAAACACACACACACAGGCAAGCTTGCACACACACAGGGACAGGCACGCTTACACACACACACACACACAGGCATGCTTACACACGCAAGGACACAGGCACGCTTGCACACACGGACACGCACACAGGCAAGCTTGTGCACACTCAGGGACACACACACACACACACACACACAGGCATGCTTACACACACACAGGCACACTCACACACACACATAGGGACACACACAGGCACACTCACATACACACATAGGGTCACACACACACAGGCACACTCACACACACACACATAGGAACACACACACACAGACACACTCACACACACACACATAGGAACACACACACACAGACACACTCACACACACACACATAGGAACACACACACACAGACACACACACACAGGCACATAGGGACACACACACACAGGCACATAGGGACACTCCCACACACACACATAGGGACACTCCCACACACACACAGGAACACACACGCAGGCACACTCCCACACACACATAGGGACACACACACATGCTGGTCTCGCCCCCCCCAGCTCTCTCTCTGTTTCTCCTGCCCCTGACTCCCCCTGTCCACCCCACGGGTCTGGAGTACTGGACAACGCTCAGGGTCTGGAATACTGGGTGGCGTTCAGGGCCCGGATCATCTCAGGAGCAAGTACACTGCGGCTCTTCGCACGAGGGCGGGACTCCTGTCTGTGGCGTGTGCGTGCCGCACGAGGGCGGGGCTCCTGTCTGTGGCGTGTGCGTGCCGTACGTGCTGTCTGTCATGCCCCCTCGCCCTCTCACAAACTTCCTCACACAATCTCTCTCTCTCCTCCTGCAGGCCTGACTCATGCTGTCTGTGTACCTGTCTCTCTCTCCTCCTGCAGGCCTGA